CGCTTCTGTAATAGTGGCTGCATCGCTACCTGCGACTAAGTTCACATGATATCCGACCGTAACATTTTTTGTCAGACTTCCTTTGTCCTTAGGAACACCTTAGGCAAACTTTTTACTTATTCTTAACATTTTCATCTGGCAAACTCCACAATTTTTTGCCACTTTTACTGCGGCCCCCCGCCCTTCCGCAGTAAATCTATTATTACATATGTATATGTTTCCTGATTAACCATGTTGTTTACTGGTGATCACGTCTTGAATAAATTACAATACAGAAAAAAGGCATCTAACCCGCAACTAAGTAAAATATAACTGTAAAATTCAAAACTGAGAGTGAGTGCGGAACTGTAACATTGGCCTTAATTTACATTTTTGCCTGCTGATTTTATTGTTGTTGTTGGATTGACTTCAAATCTTTATGAGAGAGGGAGTACAGGTGTACCAACAAGAATATACAACAAAAATATGAAAGTCGTTAGAACTTGGAAATATAGGGGTGGCTGAAATAAAAAGTGTTGAGCCATGTTACAGTTGTGCTCGACACTGTAAATCCGGCCGACATGGACTTCGTTCTGAAGACTGTGACGTTTTTACTTGTAAGATCGAAATATGTATTTCTAAAAGAGTAATAGAAACTTAATGAAGGTAATGTTTTTTTTCACGTACATGTGTGAATGAATGTATACGCCAAAATTATGATTTCGTTTGTGGCTATTAAAAAGCTAGGTGATCGTTAAATGTACATAAGCATGTATGGACATTTTTGATTTATTCGTATTTTTTGGTTCTAGGCGCAAAGCCAAAGTATGTATTTTGCTCATCAGTGGATTATAAAGTTTAGGAGTGAATGAATAATCAAATAAAACACCTCTTTGAGGTAAAATTTTCGAGTGACGAAATTTATGATATCAATTTCGTGACGAAAATTATACGCATTTTTTAACTGCCTTGGAAACGTGCGCTGTGATTCTATATGTAAGTTAAATAAGTGCTATGAGTCCGTCCGTGTACACGATAACTCGAGCAAAAATTTCGATATCTCAACGAAATTTGGTATGTAGGTTGCCCTTTATTCAAGGTAGGTTGGTATTTAAAATGGCCGAAATCGAAAAATGCAAAAACTGCAATAGTACGTGGAGTAGAATTGTGGTAAAAAATATTATTATGCAATTTTTGGAAAATGGGAGTGGCACCCCCCACTTATGATGAAATGATGTATCTCAGTAGCCGCTTCACCAAGCCCTACCAAACGGTACGATGCTTGGGTAGAGTCTAGCTAAGATATCTGTGAAATCTTTGAAATCGGGTAATAACCACGCCCACCTGCCATATAACGGTAATATACAAACAAACGAAAATTGCGATAAATCAGAACTAATTGAGCTAATAAACTTAAAATCAATTAATGCAATAACCGCTTAGCATAAAATTTGAATATTATAAATTTTTGGATAATGGGCGTGGCACCGCCCACTTATGACAGCAAATGTGTATCTCGGTAACCGATTTATCAATTTCTACCAAACTCGGTGCACTTAATAACCTTGATACGTAAAAGCAATTTGTTGAAAATTATTCAAATCGGACTAAAATTACACCCGCTTCCCGTATAATGGCAAATTTCAGAAATATGAAAACTCCGATATTTCAATGAGGATGCTAATTGACTCCAAGTTAATAGTTACAACAATCTCCTAACAATAAATAAAACCCACTTAATAACTACGAAGGTGTACCTCGGTAACCACTTAATCGATTTGTACCTACCTAGTTTCAATTATATCATTAAGTCTAACTCTGCATATTACCGGAAACGTTTGAAATCGGGTAAACATCCCTACTTATCATGAAAAAGATAGTTCAGGTAAAGTTGAAACGACGATATTTGATACTTACGCCGGGTATATAAAGTTCCGTTTCGAACGAATTGTAAGGTTTTAGTCCTGATCGAAGAGTTCGCATACTCCTACATTACCTAGAACTATCTCTAGTTGTGTGTTTTCGTATTCTCCAGCAAAAAAAAAAAATCCAGTAACTTGCCAGCAACCAAATTTCGGAGAGTAAGCCAATATTTACTCCCAATGAGTCAAATATGCAAGAAAGTACGAAAACGCAAACCCAGCAAGAAGTTGCTAGTTTTATGAACAGCTGATTAATTTGTTATTTTCCGATGCAATTTTCTTAGAAAATTAGTATTTTCCATCTTATTATATATTTAAATAGGTCTATTTTGTCAATTGCAACTCTAAACGCACCACAAACAATTATTTTTGTAATGTGAATTACATTAAGCATCATGCCATCAGCTGTTTTTCTTACTAGCAATTAGTTGCTAGTAAAAATTTATCCAGTAAAAATCCAGTAAATCTTACAAGTTCAGCAGTCATTTTTGCTCTCTCAATTTTCCCTCTTTTGCTAGTTTCTTGCAAGTGTTTGCGTACGAAAACGACATTCAGTAAAAAGCCAGTAAAATTAGTACTGGATTTACTGGATAGTGCATACGCGAACAGGGCTTATGCCACTGTTTGCGACTATGGACTACCATTATTGCTGTTTACATATGTGTACATTCGTATGCCATTGTTTCAGTGACACGCTCATGTCATGTAAACTACATATTTGCGTCCACAAATCCACCCATTAGAAGGGTTCTGTGGCGCTCATACATACATACATTCATATGTATTACATATTATGTGCATAGTTTTTGAATTTAATTATGCAAAAAATTGAATACTCAGTGAAGGCCGTGAAGTGGATGCTTTCATACGTACTTATGTATGTAAGTATGTTGCGCAATATTTCGTTATTTGTCATAAATACATACTATATGCACACATACATGCAATGCACATGCTCATGCATGCATATAATTTATAAATAATAATAATAGTAAAATTTATAAAAATTTGCAGGTCAATATGCGAACTGACATACTTTTTGTATTTTACCCAGTTTGTGCGCTTATTTGTAAGATTTTTTTTGTTGTTCTTCATAAGTAATAAACATTGAGAGACAGGATAATGATATAAAGAAAGATCAAATAATGCTTCTGTATTAGCGCGCAATATCATTTGTTACACCAAAGTCATTAAGATCGGGCGGCAGTGGACAAGACGTCAAATCCTCTGTTCTGGATTACTTTATATAAGTTGATAACCTGTGGTGTAATCAATCTAGACTAGAGCTCTCGATTTTGTTCACACATTTTCAAACAGCCCGGGTATACCCAGCAAACATTTGGAGTCATAAATGAGTCTTTAAGGAGTCCCATTTCGGAGCCTTTGTGCTCAAAATGAGCTCATTTAAGAGTCCAAAATGAGGGTGTTTCCCTTCCTGCGATGGTCGACCTATATGAGCTTAAATTCATATTGGACTTTTATTGGCCTCATATACGGCTCATTTTCGACTCTTTTTGAAGCTCTTAAATGACTTATTGGCCTCATAAATGCCTACATTCGGAGTCTCATTGTATGCTGTTCTGTGACTCTGATTGGCTTTATTCTTCAACTCTCCTAATGAACTTACTTTGGAGCCATGTTAGCAAGGAATTCATTTCAAATATATATATGTACATATATTGCAGCATTCATGTAATAGCAGTTGCTGCAGCTAAATTTTGTTTATTTTTCCTTCCTAATTATTTTTTATATCTGTATAAACAAGTTTAGATATAAATTTCTAGTCGTTATTGTTTTTATACTGGCACAAAGTGCTGGCTCATAACTTGGGTCATATATGACTCCTAAAAGATTCATATAAGAGTAAAAAACTTTTTGTTTTTGAAACTCATATTTCTTACCTACCTAGGACTCCTTTCCGACTCATATATTCTGAGCGCCCAGAATATGTTTGCGGGGTATGAGCAGCGAGTACTCGCACACTTGTTCAATGCTCATTACTCGAAAATGTTCGAGCATGAGCTCGAGCAATTCGAGTTTTTTCGAGTAAATTGAGCAATGTTTGTTTTTATTATATTGACATTTTTGGTAGCAACTTTTTAAATTTTTCAAATTATTGGTATATAATGCAAAGATTGTTACACTGGTATTTAATAATATAATTTATTTAACATGAATTAGAAAGCAGCTGCTGACATATACAATTTACAAATTTTCTTTTGTTTATGAAATTGTTCAAAAAGTCGAAAATTTTGAACCAACATTTGAGCAGTTGAGCAATGAAAGAGTTTCGAGCGAATATCCCGTTACCCGGGTATCTAGAGCTCTAATCTAGACACCCCGAAGTATTTATGTTTGGTATTGTAATCTCCTGCTACAATAAACTTACTGCCAAACTTTGGGAAAAAGTAATTAAATTGTTTTCCGCGGTATATAGTAGATACACTAAGGCCACCCAAGTGATCATCGATGTGTATTGCAATATTATGAATGACCGCATCACTATTTGATTCTAATTCATAGTGCTTCGTTCTGTTACGAATGAGAATGGCTGTTCCACCTCGGGCTTTCCCTTGTGGATGCTTAGTATCATAAAATTTGTACCCATTAATTTGAAAGTTATTAAATTTCGTAAGGTGGGTTTCAGATACAAGAAAAATGCCTATATGAAAGCGCTCTAGGAAAATTTCTAGTTCGTTTTTATGCTGCCCGTTCGTATTCCAAAAACCAAAAACGAATTTTTATATTATTCTTGGTTTGGCTAAAATGGCTTGAAGTAATAGATTTTGATTTTTAATTTAAACTAGAACACCCTTAATGAACATACACACATTCATACAATGTACAGGCTCCCATGCATATGATCATGCATGCAAATAATTCATAAATAATGGGGCGTATTCTTGTTTTCGTACGAATCGAAAATCATGAAATTTTTCCATCATTGTCTATACAAAAATTTCAAATTTTCGATTCGTACAAAATCCAGAATTTGCCTCAATAAGTCCAAAAAACTATAAGAAATGTAACATGGCATATTAAACTTAAGCTTGGCAATAAGCCATTATTCTAAAATTTTTTTCTAATTTTCACTTCCAGCAAGTTGATGGCTACACTGCGGGCGTAGATTATCCTGCCTACGAATCGGTGCCAAAAGGACTTTCATTCAAATGCCGGAACCGATCTCCTGGCTACTATGCTGATACGGAGACACGTTGTCAGGTACATACGTAAAATATAAAATACTCGTACACACGTAAAATTAAAGGACCGTAGTGGTTATGATCTTTATAATAAAAATCATAGTTTAATCGTTCAAATTGGATTTCTATTTTGCCGATCAAATTTAAACCGTATTTTAGGATATTTATTTTACGAGAAAGAATAATCCCTATTTTTGGATTTTTATTATACCCGAGCGCACTTGTGCCCAAGGGTATTATAACTTTGTTCACATAACGGTTGTTTGTAACAGGCAAAACGAATCGAGATAACTATAGACAAATGTACACATAAATGATCAGAATGAAAAAAAATCGATTAAGCGGTGACTGTCTGTCCGTCCGTCCGTCCGC